ATTTTATAATTATTTATTTAAATACATTTATTACTATACGATATCAATTCCTATATTAGGCGGATTTAGTAATAAGAAAATATTACAGAGTTTTTTTATACAAGACCCTGTATAAACTACTGTTATTTTCTCTAAAAGACAGCTATAACACAGAATAGATTATTTTTCGCTACACTGATATTTCGGTCTTAATATTAAATTGGTGTTTTTAGGTCTCTGTATTATTTCCTCAATGTTTAAATTTATTCTCTATCTATTGAATCTACATTTTCGTGAAACACTGGTTTATGGAGAAAAAATATTTTTGTTATTCGTTGGTTTAGGTACGATGTTTGTTTGGTTAGACTGAGACCGCCTTACCTGGATATAGTGGCTTAAATGCCTAACAGACACATATATTTAAGAATATAAGTTCTACGACTATTAACTATTCTTGCGAGTAACATTTATATTTTATTAGGTGCATTCATTAATGTTGTGCGTATTTGATGATTTCAAATGGAATAAATATTTCAAAGATTTTTGCAAAAAATGAACTCATAGTGGCTAATCAGAATAGAGATAGGATTTTAAGCAAATTACTCAATTTTGATTTATATAGAAAATGCCTCGATGACAATGGACGTTTTTTCTACACTTGATTTTGTCAAAAACTAATTCCATAAGAACTTTTTTAATTTTTTAAACAAAAACTTATACTTATACTTATTTTACTGCCGCATAATGTTTTAGTCAAGAAGACTAAAAAGGAGAGGAGTAACTTGCGCAAAGTGCTCTTGCGCACACTCTGTATCTGTGAGTGTATGTATTGTAAATTAAACACCAAGCATTTCCCGTGTATGCTACCTATTTGGCGTAACATATTATGCCTTAAGGTTGAGAATTACTCCAGCTTTATTTAGTATTCTAAGTCTCTCTAAAATCCAGTCTCTAATAATATTAAAAATTTTACAGGATTTTTTAAATTTTTAATTGACTTTTATAATGAATTATAAAGTCTATAATTACAAGGTTTTTATCAAAATTGACCATTATCATAATTTTTATATACCTTGTTAATATCTTAATGAAGAAAATGTTTATAATTTTTAAGTAAAATTAAGGTTTATAAATTTTTTAACAAGATAATTATACATTTTTTGCAAAATCTTTGAAAGGGTTTAATAACCGCGTGAAAAATGGAGAAAAGTATAGAATTTTAGTTGAGGTGTACAAAATTGCATCTAAAACAATTTAAAACCTTGTATTTATAGCTAGGTATTTAAAATTCGGTAAATGGAAAAAATATTTGTATTAAATTGTTCAAAGAACGCAAAAAACTCTTTTAATTGTCATTTGTTAATCGCTGTGGCTTTCGCCCGAGGTGGGACTTAAGTTCAGTCCCGAGCGACGTCATAATTTTAAGATTTGTTATGTTACGATAAAACTAAAACAAACCAACCCAACCCTTTTAACACTTTTTAACAAACAAACATAAATTTATAAAATTAAAAACTAACAAAAATTTCGACAACTTGCATGCCAACCATCTGCCCTACCATCTGAGCCACAGAACGGATTTACAGTATGTGTCAGTCGGGATCAAACTTAAGTCCGGCCACTTCGTTTTTTAATATTAGTTTTTTATATTAGCAATATTTATTCAAAATTCCCAAGATGGGGTCGGGGCAAAAAAATTATTTTTAACTCAAAATGACTGGAAATAAATTTTTCCGTATCGAGACGTCACAATATACAGAATGTCCCGAAATAAGGGTGCCAAAATTAAATAGTGCCATCTGCATAAAAAAACACTAGCTTGTTTAATAAATATGTAGGTATCGAAAAATGCCCCCGGATAGAGTTAAGGTCTCAGAAGAAATAAAAGAATGATTTTTACTATTCTAAAGAAAGTTATTTTTAATTTTTTGGTAATTTTGACATGCTGAACTAGATCTAAAATCATTCAAAATTAAATTAAAATTTGGGGGTAAGGGGGCAAAAAGCCCAATCCAGAGTTCCTTTTTTAGTGGATTTTCTTAAATTTCAGAAAATAAATTAAAACATAACCTAACCCAGAAAAGCTTGGGTCTGTTTTTGTACCTCTACCACCCAAAGTGGTACGCCTATGATTAAATTTTGCAGTTTCAGCATATCAACATTACGAAAGTATCAAAAATTTTGTCTTTATGTTTATGGAAAAAAATGATTGGGGGCCGCAGCTTCGTCAGAAGGCATTTTTCGATACATGTATATTAAACTAATTATTTTTTCCTACGCAGATTGCACTAAGTTTGGCCCCGTAATTTCGGGACACCCTTTATATTATAGTATACATACAGGACTATCATAGTATATAATACCTATATTGGAGTAACAAGCGTGTCAGGACTCACGAATGAATCTTTGGCCAGTATAAATTTAGTTCAAATACTACTGTTTCTGTTTTGGGATTAATTTAGATAGTTAGGTAAGTAAAAAAGTAACATTTTGAAGCTGGATTTAAAATTGTTTATTAACACCGATTTTCAAATTATCGACCCTCTTTTGTTTCTATAAAATCCTTGATAATTGGTATTTTTATTAAAAATTAACAAAAATTTTTTTTTAATATCACCAACAGTTATTGTTATTATAAGGAAGATAAAAGGTTTATGTAAAAACAAAACAAGGTCGATAATTTTAAACAAAAGCTCAAATAATAAATATTTATTTAAAAAAACTGTTATGGACAGTTTATAATGGCAATAACCATATTCTCTAATCCGCAATCTCTTATCTGCATTCTCGTAAAAATTGGCTTGCGGTTTATAATGAAAATTATTCTCTAATTTTTTAGTCATATAAATGTGGAAATGTTTCCATCAGACTGATTAATTTTTCGTCCTTCACAACGAATTTTATAGATTTGCAAAACAAATAGGTTTCATTCTCCCCACAGGGTATGTGGATAAAATAATAATTATTGTATTTTATTATTGCTATTTATTTATTTTATTTTATTTACAATTATTGTATTTAATTAAAATTGGTCCATCAATAGCACAGAACATATATGTTTTGTGCTTATAAGCAAGAGGTTATAAAACACATTGACAGACAGCACACGTGAACCTTAACTCGCATCCGATTGGTTGAAAATAATCCGTAATATTTAAAACATGAAAGTTGCTGAACTTTGCGCTACGAGATTACGGTAAGAGATTAGCGCCAAAAAATTGAAAATGAATGTTTGAAGAATATTGGTTAGAGAATAAAATTAGGCTTATTGCCATTATAAACCATCAATTAGTTTTGATGAGATCTACAACTCTATCGAGTTATTGACCGTCTTTTGTTTTTACATAAACCTTATCATTGTTGGTTGATATTTTTGATAAAATTGTTTTATCACAAATTAAAAGATTATAACTGGAATTTTTATACTTCGTAAGTCTTGACATGACTGTTATATATATAACATCGTGACGTCATGCGCTCTCTTCAAGGTAACCCAAGCTTTGAATTGAAAATTGACAAACTCGTATGCTTAGATTCCAAATATGCAATAAAATGTCCCCACCCTATTTTCGAATATTTCACGTAATATACCTATTATTCCTGGGAATTTTTTTCTTTTATTTTTCTATGTTGAATAAAATAATCAAAAATTAAAATAATTTGTTTAATAAACAAACAATTATGTTAACATGCTTTGAAGTTAATTTAATTATAATTATATACTTTCCAAAAATGAATTAGTCATGAATGACTAGTTTTCATAGTGAAAAAGCATGCTGCAGCCACTAACAACTGTAGTCCCAGCAATTTGTATCCAGGACATTTAATAGTCAATTAACATGTAAAATTGTCCCCTGAATCTAAATATTCCGTTTAAAATTATGAAAGTAGGGTATAGTCAATTCCATATTACCTATATAGAATATTGAGTATATTTCAAAAACTGTCCTACTTAACTTTTGACGGGGTAATTTTACATAGAAATTCAAATGTCTGGGATAAAAATTGCTGTTGACTAGAATTATTATTGGTTGCTTTTTCACTATGAAAACTAGAATTTTTGACTATTTCATATTTAGAAAGTATACATACTCTCTTAAAATGAAATAGTCAAATTTCTACTATTTGAATTAGTAACATTTTTTACTAATAAAATAGTCGTTTTTATTTTTATATTGTTATTTTTTACTACTTAAATAGTTAAACTGACTAATTAATTCAGTCACCATCTTCGACTGTTTCTTTTAAAGCCTGAATTATAGATTGCCTTCCGTCCTTCCTTCCTTCCTCCCGTAGAAGATGAACAATACGAAAATCGTAGTGCCATTTATAGATTTCCTTACAAGAAAATAGATTTTGCATTGTTTATCTTCTACGGGAGGAAGGAAGGAGGGAAGTAAGGAAGGCAATCTATAAATCAGGCTTAAGAGAGTATAAAGCTAAATGTCCGGGATACAAATTGCTTTTGACTGAGTGTATACTTTCAAATGCAATTTAAAAAAAAATTTAAACCTGTGTTCAATAAACTCGTAAATCGTTTAGAAAGTATGTAAACCAAAAAATTCTATTGTATTGTATTGTTTATCTTCTACGGGAGGAAGGAAGGAGGGAAGTAAGGAAGGCAATCTATAAATCAGGCTTAAGAGAGTATAAAGCTAAATGTCCGGGATACAAATTGCTTTTGACTGAGTGTATACTTTCAAATGCAATTTTAAAAAAAATTTAAATCTGTGTTCAATAAACTCGTAAATCGTTTAGAAAGTATGTAAACCAAAAAATTCCAATCAAACCCTCTTCCAAGTTTCATAATCCCGAAGCTTTTAAACATGCACTTACACCTCATCTCCTCTATCGGAAATTCCTTTATACATACTACGACTTTCGCTAGTTCCGCTCGAGAGTGTGTGTCTGTCAGGTTGTTTGTTAAAACGCCCTGCGGGGGTTGCGTACAGGGGAACGGCGAACCGCCCCCCACACCCCGCGTCCCTTTATATCCTGGTGGAGCGGTCCCAGTCCGGATGCTAGAGGCTCTCCGGTGGAGAGCCGGGAACCGGCAGCGGCGACTGTTCCAACGGCGGCGGCGGCGGTTGTAACAGCGGCGGCGGCTGAAATTTCATCGGGGGCGGTTGTAATTTCAGTGGCGGCGGTGGCGGCGGCCGGTACCGTGGCGGCTCCGGACTCGAGTAGAGCGGTATCAGGAGGCCGCCGTTCAGGGGCTCGATCTCCGGGGGCGGCGTCCACGGGCTCAGATCGGAGTCTCCCTGGAATTTGCAGAAAGAACTTCTTGGTCACACTGTTTAACATTTGCATTTAGGTTTTTATTTGATAATAATTTTTTGAAATGCGGTTTTTGAATGCAGCTCTTGTTTTAAATAAAAAGAAACATTAAAACATACAACTGAGGCTAGCAAAAGTATGTCACAATTTTAATTTTATATTAAAATCCCCTAAAATTTCAATAAATTATATTTATCTACTCCTACATTGACAAGCTGTGACTTTATGGCGTTTTATTGACGGGCTGAAGTTAACAACAGTGGCTTTTCGACATTTTACGCCACGGGCTGAAGTTAGCTTTATTATAAATTGGGAAAAAGTAAGGTTAAATTCGGGTGACAGTTGACAGATGTCAAAATTTTAACAAATAAAATTGGCTTTAAATTCTGTTTTGTGTTCGTCGTAGATAAAGTATAGTATGCAATTCGTTTATAAACTTCTCTAGACATTCGTTTTTATTAAACACTTGCTCGCAAGCTTCGCTCGTGCTTAATTAAACTCGTAACTAAAATGGCGTTTATAAAACTTGATACATAATATACTATTAAATTATAATTATATTAATTAGGTATATTAATTATATTAATAAATTATATTTAAATTATAATAATCGTATACGATTTTCATTGGGTTTGATTTTTTGTCGAACTTTTATGTGATTTTAAATGTTTCACGGTTAATTTCCTAGCTTTATTAGGGGTTTTATTCGTTTTGTTCTTGATTTTTTATTACAACGATTTTTATCCGACCTAATTTTTAGTTGATTTGCGGTGAGATTTTTGTATTAATAAATTCAAATTTTCTTAATAATTATTAATATACATAATTTTTGCATGCAACCAATGCTTAATAATTATGACTCAATATTGGAAACATATTTTACAGATTGATTTAGTTTAAAAAATATAAACTTTTTGTCAAAATTTTACCAGCCGGTACGCAATCGAATAAAATATGCTCGAATTTGCTCTTTAAGATATAGGGTGTTAAATTGATGTATTTTTAGAATTTTTTTAAATCTTCTAAATAAAAAAATAAATCATCTAAATTTGATTTGCATTTTTATCTCAACGAAATACATTATTTAAAGCGTTTTTTATTTTTACATTATACAGGGTTTATATCATGTATTTAAACCAACACAATTTTTTCATGTACGCTCTGTTCAAACTTGATTGCCTTGGTCTTTTTATATAAAAAAATATCTTGATTTGCTTAAAATAAAAAATTTAGCATAATAAGTTTGGTTTCACAAAAAAGTCATTTTATGAAATCATATAATTGTATTTAACAGTAAAACCGAAAGTGGACTTAATTGAAGCAAAAACATATTTTAATTAAATTAATAAGTAATTGTTAATAGCAGAAACCTGTTTAGGTTAAGCTATGTACCTTGTATAGAAAACAAACTTCGTTTCTGGCGTTATTGTTGCAAATAACATAGAAGGATTAAAATATAATTAGAAACTAAACTTTTAAAATTGTTTCCAACAAATCACAGAAGGGTAACAAAGGGGGCAAAACTGCTTAGAATCTGAGCAAAACCTAAATACGGTATGGAAACCATATCAGCAACGCCACCTGAGTAACAAAATCGTAACGAAATCTCGGTAACGTTTCTCGAGCAGCAAAATTGTTATATAAGCTAAACAATAGTATATTATTACTTTTAACTTTTTAATATCCTGTGTTTCTGTAGTAGTCGCTCCTGCGATTATTGTTATAAACAGTTTCCATAGCAATTTTGTTTCCCTGAAACCGTTACCCAGATTTTATTACTCGTTTTGGTAATAAGTATCGTTTCTGAAAGTTTCGTTATCATTTTTTGTGGCGCATGTTTTAAAACAGTTTTGTTTCAGTTCTTATATGAAAAACAATACCAAACAGAATAAAAAGTCCCTGGTTAATAGTTAAATTTGATAAATTGCCTGTTAAAATATCAAATTATCGGTTGCAAGGAAAAAGGATCATGTAAAAATATATTATATGTATAAAGGGGTTTGAAAGATATTAAGAAAATTTATATATTTTTTAATTTTGAACACCCTATATCTCCATTATTAGTATAATAATTATATATTACAATTATTATAAGTTTGGGTTTAATCCCTTTTAGTTGAACCTTGTGAAATACTTTATCCATAAAATTTGTTTGTATAAAAGCAATTTTAAGGAAGAAAAAAGAAATACATTTCCGTGTCAATATATTGATTTACATCGAATTTAAAATTTACAAAAAATCAGCAGATGTGAATTTATAGGGCGCACTGTTTTCGTTGAATACATTTTCTTTTATTAAAAAAATACAAAGGAATTTGTCTACTGTTCTTTTATCAACTTCCCAACACAGTTACAGTATTTATTGCTTCAATAAGTTTATTTGTTTTCGTGGATTATGTGGAGTATTTTATTTTATATATTGACTTGATAAGTTTACTTTATCGCAAGAAGATTAAATTGTTGTTTGTGCGTGAGGTCAAAAGGGTAGGGTTCGGAGCTCGTAAAGGTGTTTGTCTGTGTCTTAATGCTATGCATGGGGAATTCTAAGCCTGTGCCTTTTAAGGTTTAATACGTCAAGATATGCTAAGGGCCCTACTTTATTACATTGCCACTTGCAACTTTTGAAACTATGTTTTTAGGTTTATAAATGAAGTTAATTAATTAGGCATGTATTGCCCAAATTTATAAGGTTCTCTATGAGTTCTTAAAAATACATTGTTGTATAGGTATTAATTCGTAATGTTAATTTCTAATTTTTTTTTTGGTGCAGGGTAGGCAACAACTTTTCTTGGTTAATTTTCGCGATATTTATTCGCGTTCACTGAATGGGTTCACTGAATGGGTTCAATCCTTTAATGATTTTAACAACAAAAACTCGTATCAACTTAGATCTTCAACCGCTTTATTTTGAAGATATACATGGGTCCTATTATATAGTGTGTCCAGGGATGGAACTATACTAAAATATTTATTTTCAATTTTTCGAAAAAACTCACTTTTTATAATTTCTTCTGCTTGTTATATAAATTCGATTCGGGTTGAGAAACATCCATTTTGTTGTACAGGGTGAGCAAAAATACTGATTTTTAAATTAAAAAATTTTTAAATATATTTTTTTAAAGCGCTTTAAAAATTTAAGATATTAGTTTTCAAATTTTAACAAATAATTGTAGACATATTATGTATTGAAAGCAACAACCTTGATTCGTAATCTCAAAATGAGATAGCAGTCAATTTCTACAAAATAATAGGACAACAACTCACATGAAAAAACTTTTATTTGGCTTTTTGGTTTTTCTTTACAAGCTCATATTAGACCTTTAAAAAAAATATTTAACAATTTTTAATTTTGCAAAATGTACAATTTTATTTTTTTGCGCACCCTGTATAACAAAATAGAAGTTTTTCATCGTGAATGGTATTTATATAACAAGCAGAAGAAATTATGAGGAGTGACTTTTCTTCGAAAAATTTAAAATAAATATTTTTACAAGTATAGTTAAGTCCATCCATGGACACACTGTATATAATCGATTGAAAAATTTCCTCATTTCCATGAGGATGAAAAGTAATTTATTCGAATGGAAATGGCCATTTCTCAAGAGAATTTAGTGCAATTTTGTCTAATTACCATAACCACAGATTTGATCACATCGTCCCCATTCTCACATAAGGTCGTATCTCATATTTAACAATTTTACAGAGAATTTTAAAGATTGAAAGTTTTAAGCTAATTTAAATTATTTTTCTGAAAAAAAATTGCTACTAGTAATACATTAAATGTAATACCTTGTAGCACATTTTTTTCTAAATAATAATTTAAGTTAGCTAAAAACATTAAATCCATAAAATCCTCTGTAAAGTTGTTAAATATGAGATACGACCTTATGTGAGAATGGGGACGACATGTTTGCAAATATCAGTGTTAATTAATTTTTTAGAAAATAATGAACTACCGTATAATCGTCATAGTAGTGATAAATACTACCGTGGAGAAAATAAAACCGTGAAGAAAGATACATTTTTTCCACAGTTAAGACTGACATTCTAAATTAAAAACGTATAGGAAATGTCTACATTTCCTTGTGAATACACATTCTTTAATATGACTAAAAAAAAAATCCGGAAATCGATCAACAAGAGAACAATTGGATATTTTTTGACCAAATTGGTAGATTATTGATTTTACATAAGAATTGACTTAAATGCCCGAGATACAAATTGCTGTGGACCACAGTTATTAGTGGCTGCTTTTTCACTTTGAAAACTTATTTTTTGAATAATTTATATTTAGAGAGTACCTACACATTTTTGGCCAATCAGGTAAAGTGGATTTATCGGCTTTTGTATGTATGCTCCACAAATATAAAAGTAAAACTTATTTTTTTTTGTTAAAAATAGTCAAGGGCTTGTCGATGTGGACGCCACTGGTAGAAGTAGCACAAAATGTTTAATACTTGTTGTTAGCTAATAATATTTTTTTTAAATATAAAGCGACTTCAAAGAAATTAAAAAAAAAAACGATTTTTTAAAAATTTCGATTCATGTTATTGTGCTGTTTTGTGATGTTTGTAATTAGGATTTTCCATATAGAAAAAAAAAAAAAATTCACGAAAAATAGGTGATTGTGCAAAATGATAAAAATGTATTTTTTAATTCACCGTGTCCAAATTACCAGGGAAAAGTTGTCCACATTGCAAATAGCAAAATGGCTGGTAATTTATATGGCTACCTTAAATGTTATATATGAACCTGCCCTGTGGTAATCTGAACACGTTATTTTGACATTTGTCGAGAATATGCAGGTATATTGCGGTGCATAATTAGCTTAACACACATTAAACAATGTTGTAAACACCAGTTATAACAGGTGAAGTATCTAAAGTGGTTTAATAATTATTGATAAACTATATATGCTGTTTGCAATATTAAAATATCCCTTTAATTAATATACAAGTAAAATATTAATATGTAAGTTAAATATTTGTGTAAGACAAACTTATATATAATATGTTTACAAATTATAATTTTTTTTGGATTTGAATTCCCTAAAATTGTTTTGAAACTTGTTTATTTAAATTGTGTACTTGCAATATAAAGCTTAATAAATTAAATGAATAATATAAAATTGGCATACTTCTAAAATTATCAAAAAACAAATTTCAAATTTTGTTCACTATAATCGATTATCTACATACTGTTTATTTATCAATGCCAATTTGGATCAGGGTTAACAGAGTCAAAAGTCAATAACTTAGGTTACAAAAAATATTTTAAAAAATTAACTTTTTTATAAGTATATATTATAAATTTTAATTCAATAAATATAAAAAATCTCATACATTTTACTGTTAACATTAAAGCTCAATACGCTTAATCGAAATTCTCTGTTTAGTAACGGAATTTCTACGCATCAAACAGGTCACATCGATATTATATGAATTTTACACTTTATTAGATTTCAAAGACAGTAAAAGAGGTGTTAATATACGTTCTAAAGGGCGACACATTTCGAAATCAGACAGTAAAGTGTGTTTACTGGTGAAACTCGTAAAAGGAGAGTCGCGATTGCTTTCTATATTTTTTATTACCCGTGAGATTTGACGTATTTCCCGGACGACGAGGAAAACATAATCAGAAGGGAAATGATACCTTTGCCAAAAGGCATACAAACATCTTTATTCGAACTTTGTAACAAACTTTATAAGGGTTTTATTGGTTGAACACGTTTTTTTCCTTCGGGGAGCAAAAGTTTAAATCGATGGTTTCGGATTTGGATTTTTGTATTTTTTTCGATTAAAAACTAAAGAAAAACTTGGATTAGTATAGTTAGTATAGTATAGTTTTTATCGAAAAAAAAAATCTTTGATATACAGGTTGTCCGGAAATAACGTATTACCTATTTAGGGGGCGATTTTACAAGTAAAATTAAATTGCTATAAACAGATGTCCGAAAATGCCTCCTATAGGGGCGCTATAGCGCAAAATCAGGTTTTTATTAATTATTTCCGAAACGGTTCTGGATAGTAGATAAGGTTTGGGCCGCCCGATGGATAGGACAACACCGTGGCCTCCTAGTTCTCCAGATTTAAACCCACTTTACTTCTATGTATCCCCACATTTAAAATCATTGGTTTATGCAGTCCCAATTCATAACGTTAAGGAATTGATGCCGCGGGTTGTAAATGCTTGTGAATCCATAAAAAATAAACCTGGATTTTTCGAAAACATTCTATGAAAAAAACGCGGTCATTTTGAGCATTTACTAAAATATTAATTCATGAAAATTGGAAATAAATTGTTATTGTTGTAGTTTATTTACTGTGTTTATTAACTAGAATTTATAATTTTTTTGAATTACGTTTTTCTTGAAATAATTTTGTTAGTTTTTAGTTTTAGACTAAAAGAATTAATTAAATCCAAGAAAAAATTAAACTTGTGTAATTTTACTGTCAATTAAAGTTTTAAATATCTGCCAATATTTATGTTTAAATTCTTGTTGAAGCTAGCTTTTATGTTTTTATAAATTGTCAACGTAAAGCGAGGCGTAAAATTGTAAAGGTTTTATCTTAGACAATTGCTTCAAAGAAATAACAAAGGAAAATGTTCACTTAAAATTTGCAATAACCTCTTTTATATTCATTATTGTTAACCCCAATTAAATTTAATTACAAAATATTTTCTTAATTAAAAATTAGGATAGTGCATGCCGGTTTACACAACTTACATATAATATTTAATTACCATAGAGCTATCTGGATGGGCGGGTATAGGCAGGGGCGGCTTCAGCAGCGAGATGTCGGTTCGTGGGGGGTCCGGAGGTGGGGGAACGCTGGGGGCCCCTATCCAGAGGGGGATCCAGCCGCAGCACAGGTCTAGCATGGCCCTTCGCAAACCTCGGTGCAGCACCAAGAATAAAGTGGGGTTCACTATCGCGTGCACGTATGATATGTGAAGTGTAATCTGAAAAAATTTATAGGTATACACACTGTTCAAAATTTCATGACAATTTTACTATTAAAATAAATTTTACCTGGTGTAAATTGAACCCCTTTTCAGTGTTAAATATAATGTGTTTTTGGTCAAATTAAATCATACTACACAGAAAAAAAGGAAACAGACAGTTCCTTGACGCATTACAAGTATATTACCAGTAGTATTATTCCAGAAAATTGAACCTTCAACTCGCTAGAGATAATGTTTTTAGTGCGTTTCACCAACTTAAAATACTTTAAGTATTGACAGATGTTTCCACCTATTTTTTTTAGTATCAAACAACTTGTAGTGTCACACCAAAGCAAAGGACTACCTGAGCTTATATACTCTTCATGTAAGTCAACAGAGGCGAGATTTAAGAACATCACGTGATACATACCGCCTTTGCCGCGATCGGTACACACTATAGTAACACATATAACACATATATGTAACCAGGAATGCACGGCAAATTGTTTTAATCGTTTTAATCGCTTTAGGTTGAAGTAACTCTTATTTTACAAACAACATATTTAGTAAACTGTTGGTTGGTTTCACTAAAGTTTTCTAGGTTAATTTAACCAATTTAAAAAAATAAAATAACTATCTGGTTTAGTACCGTCAAACTAATCTTTGTTTATATTAATCTTCCTACAGTTGATTTAAATAAATACTTATGGGTCAACTAAATTAATATAGTTAAATGAACTAACTATTCCTTTTTTTCTGTGTAGGTGCACTTCTCAAATATTTTTATATAAACACCGTTTTGTTGTTTGCTGTATAAAACATTTTCAACCATATTTCCTGGTGTTATATTAACACCACTTGGTGTTGGATTTTGACACCATTTTAAGAATACTTTTTACACCACAGATATTTTAAACAGTGCAGTAGGGGTGTTAATCCCGGGATACCAATATCAGTATTATACGTAAAAATTTAAAAAATTTCAGAAAAATTTACTTTTTAATTTTTTATATTACCCTTAAAATTAAATTAAATTAAATTTAAAAAAATGATTTTTTAAATTTACTGCCGGCTCAATTTTTAATAATAATAATTAATATTATAAATTTTTGTTGTGTTCCTAAAAGCATGTGAGACACTGAAAGTTCAAGGTAATTTTTTACATTTGGTGTAGTTTTTGCTCGACTTTGTCAAAGGAAAATCGAGAATGATGAAATGTTTTTTCTGCTGCCCGATGCGGCAACATTTTAACCAAAGTAAGTTAATGCGTTTAGTTTGGAAATTGCGCCGTTAATTTAATTCAAAATGCACTCGTTGCAATGGCACTCGGTTTACTTCAAAACGAAATCGATTTAACGTTGCTAATAACGTTATTACTTTTAGATCAGTTGCGCAGTAACACTTTGTCTTAATATAACATTTTGAAAAGATGTTTTTAATAAAGAAATTAGGATTTTAAAATGATAATAAAGTTTTTAAAATTCCATTGGCGTTTGATCCCAAAACACAGTTAAGTGAGTGCCGCACTATCATATATGATATATATAATATATATTATGTATACATATTAAAAAAGTTGAAAATATTTTTGTTGCACTGAATAATCAGTTTTTTGCCGAAGAAAATGGGTTGCAAGACCTGTAATAAGACCGTGGTATGAACTAATCACCCATAAAACTATTTGTAATTTCTCTACATTATTACTACAAAAAAAGAGCTCAAATCTTCAGTGAGTCATTACTTTAATGTAGAGAATAACTCCACAAAATTTAAAAAATCCACATTTCAAAAATATATATTTTTGTTGGAATGACTCATAAACTTTAGATAAACCGTTTTTGTGTATTTTCGAGTACCTAAAGATTTAACAAGGTATGTCTAGTTTGGCAAGTAAACCAATTAATTAGAATCCCTCATTAATCATTGAATGTATAACTATAGTTATGTTAGGGATTTGTTTTTTATTCCGTACACTGCGCTTTTAAACAGACCAGTTGTACACATAATTGATTAACTAAGTTTACTAAAACGCCTTTATTCAACAAGAAAATGAATTTATCCTTGCTGGGTTTCTGATTAATTGAAGGAAAGAAAACTGTACGAAACAATTGTTACCTCGTGTCCCAGCGGATTTCCCACGATGGGATGGTTGACTAGGGTTACGAAAAATAATGGACCCCAAAACAAAACGTAAGCTCCCGTTATTACAAGGAACATTTTCACTCTTTGCACACCGTCTCTTTCCATTCTTCTAAGATACTCCCTCATTCTTCTGTGCTCTTCCAGAGCTCCGGTGGCCTAAAAACAAAAAGAAATCCCAGATTATTATTTTTTTGTTAAAGAAAACCAGACTGACATTTTTTTTTCATTTAAATTATCGAACCGGAAAAAGTATTTTTTTAAATTTATTAAATAGACCATCAGAGTTTTAGCCCATCAAGCAATGCATTTAATAATATTTTTCTATGTTATACTGATTTTGGGTTATGTTTAAATATTTTTTCGTTGCTTTCAAGAAAATGCATTTTCAATTTCAATTGTTAATATAATTAAGTGACACATAAAAATCAACAGTAAATAGAGAACACTTTTATGAGGCTAATAATAATTATTAGTTGTAAGGCGTCAGTGATTGACCGATTTCATTATTCACCGTGATTTTGACCAAAGAGGTTTTAAATTTGCTGCGAGCTGCTCGTTCCCAATCATAAAATTCGACATCTGTTAGACGTTTCTAACCTCACTTTGTACTTTTAGTAATTGTACTTCATTAATCGTTTAACAAATAAAATTGTTTCTTAATCTAAAGACCGATTAAAAATAAAATTTTTTATGTCATTCGGCCAAGAAGGTATTTTTTTTCTTCGCTTAATTGTATTTAAGAGCACAAAATATCTCACTTTTCTGCCTAATGACATAAATAACTATTATATGGTTCTTATATTAAAAGAAATTGTAAATTTTCAAATTATTTAAGCGTGTGTATGTTGACAAAAATTTATATGCCTATTCCACAGGTATAAGTGCATACGAGAAAAACATTAAAAAATTAATGAATTTTATGTATATTTTAAGTATAATATTAGTTGAATTTTTGTATTGGTCCAAACAAGTTTTTTACAGACTAGGAGGTTAAAACTTAACCCGATTGGTCTGAATTATTTTTTATAGCTAAGGAGGTTTTTGACTAAAGAAAATAGTTATTTATGTCATAGGGCTAAAAATTTAGTCTTTTTGTGCTGAGCTCAAAGTTTGAATGCCGCCGCGTAGCGAAAGCCTACAATTGAGCGAAGCACAAAATTACACTTCTCAGCCGAATGGCATACAAAATCTTTAAGGCACAGTTTTATTTGTTAAACAATACATACAATGTACTTACAATTCTGTGGGTAAAAGGCATAAGGGGATAAGTCAAAAAAAGCAATTTTTCAGCAGAGCCTTAAACGTGTTCCCATTAATTCAGGAAATATATTTATGGTTAGCGGGTATACCCTTTTGGTAGCATATGACATGTGCTACCAAAAGGGTATACCCAATAACCATAAATATATTTCCTAAATTAATGCGAACACGTTTAAGGCTCCACTGAAAAATTGCTTGTTTTGACTTATCCCCTTATGCCTTTTACCCACATAATTGTAATAACAATTATTAAAATACGTGTAATGTGAGGCAAGATAGCTTCAGAGTGTCAGCAGTTATTAAATTTTTTAATTAGTCCTTACGGGTTTTTTTACAGACTAGGATGAAAAAAACTTCACCTGAATGGTCTAAATTATTTTTACAGCCTAGGAGATAATCGAATAATTTGGTAGCGAGCGTTGACAATAATAAAGCTTAAATTATAGAACGCTTGAAAATAAACTTTATTATGCATTGTCCTGTTAAATTTTGCATATTAATATCTTTATCTACTCCTATTGCATAATATTGGGATTTTTCGTATACAATGATAAACATTATAAATGTTAGGAATCAGTGATATTCCGATTTCAATATTCACTGTGATTTGAACTAATCGGGTTTTAAATTGGAAGAAGGCGACTATGATAATATTAAAAATTGGTAAAAAGTGAGATTTTATTTATTTAATTTTGAAAATCAGTTAATTGAATATATACTTATTTTATTTTATTTATTTATTAAAGAAAGACTGCTTTATCTCTCGTAGGTAGGTATACTATTATTAAGTTTTTTTGCAAAACACTTATTTTATGGACAATGTGGTTACACAATTGTTATTTTTTGCAATATATTCTCTAAAATTTAGAGTCTAAATCCATAATTGATTTTCAATTTGTTTAAAAATTAAAATTTTTATGTATTAGACTTAACCGTCAGGCATGTATATATTAATATTAATATTTTAATAAATTTTAATTATTTGTTTCAGGTATGTCCCTAAAACTAAGAATGTTTACAAAATTTAGCGTAAGTAATTACCTATAGGTATAAATATTAATATATACTATTAAACATATAATTTAACTACTCGGTAATTTAACTTACTCGGTAATTCCACGACGGCTTAAACATTACCGATAATTTTTATAAAAGCTCAGTTGTGTACATTTTGTACAACAAGCTTAAATGAAAATTATCTGGTTGATTTTCAAGGACATACAGAATATTTCTCGAGTGAAAATACAAAAAAAATTGTGTATATATTGAAACAAAATTAACAAGAATATAACTATTTAATATTGTTTTCCTCGCGAACCGCTTGTCTGATTTTGATGATTTTTTTTTTGAATATTTATTGTACTCATGGTGGGGATTTTTATTTTGATTTTAATTTGAGCATATAAAAATAAGGAGTTTTTATTCCCGAAATGTGACACCCTGTGGGGTGCCTCAGTAATAACGTTGGAATTCTACTGTATACAGAAAGGGATAAAGCCCTTTCTTTTCGAAACATTTTGTTCGCGTTTTTATCTTTTTTATTAACAACTGTTTTAAGGTCCAAGCCTCGGATAAAGTGTTCTTACTAGACACATAACGTTGACTTCTACCATCTTTAATTAATGCCACAATACGAGAAATATTTGTCAAAGATAACAGTATTTTTTTATTTGTTAACTGACAACTTTTACTGTCATATTTTAAAATAACAGACATCTGGAACGTTGTTTGCTTTAAAACAGTGTTTATTTTTAAATGATAAATATTCTTTATATATTAAGCAATCAAAACGACAGACTTTAAAAATTTTGACCAATACAATTTTTTAAAAGTGATTAAAATGCATGTTTAGAGGTGGATTCAATCGACTACTTCCCTCGTCTTAATTTCCACCAATCACAAACGCGCAATTTTAAATTAAAAATGGTTTCTGGGTGGAAAAAGTGTATGGCAGCACCTGCAGTTTTTTCGAGTTTACCGGCGGCAAAACTTGACAGCTGTTGTTACCAAAAATTGCAATTTATATTTTAATTGTTAACTTTTACTCATGAAATATTCTTGTCAAATACCATTCGGGCATCTAATTTTTTCTGTGAAAAAAATCGAAAAATCACAATGCTAAGTAATATTTTTTTACAAAATGCATTCGTGCAGGTGCAAAAATCCTCGTCTTCGACTCGGATTTTTGTTGTCACCAGCACTCATGCTTCTTGTTAAAATATTACTTAGCAACGTGTTTTTTCGATTTTTTTCGAAAAAATTAAATGACCTTATGATACTACTTACAATAAAAGCCCTGTTGGTATGTTACTATAGTAACCACATAAATAAACAGAAAAGCCTGAATAAGTGACAGTTTGTTTAATGTCCATTTGTTCTACTAAAAAATTAATTCCATGAGATTTGGAGAAAGTTCTCAAGCAAATATTTAAATTCCTGTATTTACCTTCCAATCAAAGTCAATTTTTAACCTTATACATTATATATATATTTATATATATATATATATATTTTTAAATTATCTCCAAACTTTTTGCCATTTAACACTTCCATGCCCTTTATTTTTGATTAATTTTTATGGCAAAAAAAAAATCGTGAAAAAAAAAAATATCCGCTAAAAATATGACCCCTACAATACCGGAAAATAAAAAACGCAGTCTTACAAATTTCGGGAAAATATTATTTTTATTTTGCACCCTGTATATTCTTAAATTAAAATCAGAATAAGAAATGTATAATATAGCATCGTTATTAAGAAGTCAACCAACATTTAAAAAAATTGTAATTGTCCACTATCTAAATATACTACAAGGTTAAAATATAAACCTAGACAAAAAGCTATATTTTTTGCCTAGAAAGTATTTCCTAAATATTACCTTATACAAGAAAAAATACTTAAATTAAAGCAAATACACATTTTAAAATGGAATCGCAGATCTTTTATTTAAATGTTCTGCGGGGCTGTGCACGTTTTTATCATTTTTTATTACATCTACGAGAAAAAAGGGCGGCATCGTGAATGATGTATGCTCGGATTATGAACGTCGTTTTGTAAATTTTTTACCAAGGATTTTTAAACCAAACCCCCAAAAAAACCTTGCAATTTTAACTCGGACATTTTCTTGCTTGTCTCGATTTGAATTTTAATGGAAATCTTGATGAAATTAAACTGTTTCAATTACAAGAATTTATCTTTTCACTAATCAAAATTGTGTTAAATAAATTGTCTTTCGTCTGCATGCTAAGTAATTCCACTCGAGTCGTTTTTTGTAAAAATAAAATATGAAAAATACATCAAGAAAAAAGTAATGTTAAGAGCTTTTAGGTATATGTCATAATTTAACTTTAACCTTATGCATAATAAATACATTTTAATATACCCGAAATAAAATTTATACATGTGCATACATTAAATAATTTTTAGTAAGTTTCTTAACAAAATTTTTTGGTAAAATTTTTAATAAAACCTCTTTGTTACTTTAAATTAACTAAGTAACAAAATGCTTAAAAACATTTAAAACAGAAACAATGTTGCCTTTACCCGGGATTAATTTAGCATGAAAGGATTTCGGTAAATGGTAGCCTGAAGCCAAATTAAATAAAATTCAAATACCGTGTTGGATCCTAAATTTTATTAATACTGCAAAAGAAAAATTTCCAATTATCGTTATCGTTTACTTTGTTCAAATTATGTGATTAAAAGTTAAAATTCCAGATTGTTACCTTTATTTAAACAGTATGGACTCTTTTAGTATCTTTTTATGTATTTTCGATATCATGAAAAACCCATTCGTTTGGATGTAGAGGCAACCGTAAAAATAAACGTGAGTGGAATTGCAAAATTATATTTAAATATATCCTAAGTTTGTGCCAATTCTAATGTAAAGTGGTTGGAA